TCATGTATTCATGTGTGTGTATTTTTTATAAGCATTCATTTGCTTACGATTTTTGTAACTTTCCAGATTTCCAAAAGCTTGCATCCTGATTTTATCGAGTTTTCTGACGATAATGATGACGCAAATGATAAGGATGCAAGTAGTATGCTTCATTCTGATTGTGGTCGTATAATGCCCCAATATGATGGCGTTGGTGATGAACTCGATGAGGATGAAAGCGCAACTCACTACTGTCGTCAGCAGCTTCAACACCAACAGCAGCATCAACAAATGATGATGTTGCTTCCTGGGGGTCATCTAGCTACCCCGGCGGGTCAGCGTGAGCTATTTAAGCCTCATCAACTCCCGATCCCATCAGTTCCCCGAACTTCGTTTGCTTCTTTGGGTCTCGTAGGGCCGAACAGTGGTATTCTTAGCGCGGAGATGGCAGAAACTATTGACACAGACCATAATGCTTCCAATGGGCAGGACGAAGAGGAAGAAGATGATGATGTAGACGAGGATGATGCTGCTTTTGCAGCGATCTACGCAGACTATTTTGATGAATCTGACGAAGAGGATATTGTAGACCCAGCTTTGACTAGAGATCCTACTGATCACGGTAGCGAGTATGGCTGGCCTATACTCTCCGGCAATCGAAAACGTCCAGCACCGAATACCCCTTTTCTCAATATCGTAAGTTGATATTATTTTATATCTGCTGTTAGATTATATTCTATATTTTTTAGCTGTTTGTCTCCTATGAAAAGGTCTGTAATAAATTCATATTGACATAAGACGTCAGAAACCAAATTTATTTTTTATTTAGGGAATTTTAACCATTAAGTAGCCCTAAGGAAGGCATACTTGCTGGGATTATCATTTTCCTTTTCCTAATTTACTTATAGAAACGAAGAGTAGCCAGCACTTTCATTTCGTATGAAAGTGCATGACAAATATTTTCGTAGGTCGACCTTACTAGAAGACGACGTCTGATTACCGTTTTACTGCTGCAGCTTGGCTTTAATAAGGCGTTTAGGTTGACACAGTCCACGAGACATCCTCCCTCGATCAGGTTAAAACGAGCTGAGATTTAGTATATGGACAGCATCAGAACTGGAACAGATTCTTTAAAAGTCTCACGCTAACACTAGGTCAAGAAGACTTTTACAAGAATGAGTTCCAGCTCTTATGATGCCTATGTAATGGACGAAAGCTCAGCTAGTTTTAACCAGAAATGAGAGAGGAGATTTAGTGGACTGAGTCAATCTGAATGTTGTAAAAAGCCAAACGGCTGTAGAATAACGGGGACTCTTTTGGTGAGATCGCCCTACGCATTTATTTTTTATGCACTTTTATACTAATTGAAAGTCTCCTCAGTAATGCTATCTCAGAAGATTCATCGAAACCCAGTTACTCTTCGTATCCCCAGAGCATGTAATGAACAGGAGATTAGAAGAAGGCAGAGTTAGTGACAACTTTGCCTAGTGCAAATAGGAATAATATAAGAGAGACAAAAAGAAGATTCCTGGATCAATGATCTATCGTTAACCTGTGGAAAAGGAATGAAGGCAAAGATGAAGCCCTTTTTTACCAGAAACGAGAGAGGATGTCCATGTACCTCGTCTCCCTGATTGTCGTATCAAAGCCAAATGGTGGCAGTATAACTAGAATTAGCCATTGTATTTTGGTGAAATTGACTTTTGAATTTCTTCATGCAGTTTCGTACCAACTGAAAGTCTTCTCAATAATTTACTGATTCTCTTGTTAGTATAAACTTCAAAATAAATTAATGAAATCTATGCCATTTTTAAGTAAGTCTAATTAAGTCATTAAACTAATGATGTATGACCTTCATAGTTACTGTTACTATTTTGAAGTTATCCGTCTTCGTCTCGTCGATTTATTCATAATTTAAATGTTTGAAAGGGCACTGATTTGAGATGAGCAATGTGATCTAATATATAAATTTTACCCTATGAATCAGCTAGGAATTATATTTATTTTATGATTCGCTAATTTTGCCTAGCCTAAAATAATTTATAGACTATTATAATGTAGGAGAAATAATTTAACATTCTCGTGAATTTTCCCATGGTTTTATTTGCCGTATAGTAAAAAATACTTGCTTGAATAAGCCCTGCCATTATTTTGGATAATTTTCCAGTAATTCTTTTCTGGCATTTAAATAGTCACTTTTTTCAAGAGCTTTATCCTCGATGAATTTGTTATGGCCATTTTTTATCAGAGAAAATACCAATGTGTTGTTTTGTTGCTCATAATTTGACAAAATTACCACGGGAGTCTACCTCTGAAGTTGTTATTGCAATATTACATCTTATTTGCTATCTTTGTATTTAAAAAGAAGGTTCTAAATTCCTTTTTAATTTCAATTGAGCATGACCCTCAATTAGATTCTTTCCACAGATTTCATACAAAATAATTAAATGAACTTGAGTCTTGATAATTTTATTGATAATTATTCCTAGTACTGTAAAAAATAGGCTTTATGGCCTCACGAAGTCACCATAACTCAATGATTATTCATAATGGCTTTCCGATAAAATCTAACTAAGCGTCTTCAATAATTCGTTTCATATCAAATGAATGCCGGCTCATAGTTATTTATTCGTTCTAGCTCTTTATCATTTAACCAAAGCTAACAATTTTGTATATTTAACTTTATTTCTAGCATATTAGTTGTCAGAGCATAGAGTAAATAAAGTGTTGCTTTAATGGCCACATTGCTAACAAGTTTAAGAGAAGCCTAGACATAACTTAGTACTTATATACTATACCTATTCTTATAATCTAAATT